CCAACTGTTCACACTTTGCACGGGAGCACCTTTTTTTATTTGAACCCTCTCTTATATACACACACATACATATAAATGGGCTGGTCTGTTAAACTAAAAGGTATCAGAGTTGGAATATAGTTGTCTATTTAGAGTAGTTCAAATTTAGTTTGATTATTAAAGAGATCAAATCAGATTTTAAACCTACATGACCAAACCTTTTCAAGTGCGCTCAAGTCCTACGCTTAAATAGGCCGCTTGGCCTATTCCCATCCCTAGCCTCATGTCACGGACTTGTTCCCTCAACAAGCTCACGTGCGGCCTTAGCTCCTTTCTGCCCCTCGCAGTAGCTAAGTCAGCCTAGACAACTCCTTAGTGTTGTGTGTGCTTAAGTGCTTGGCTAGAAGGAAAGGTGGTAAAGGCAAGAACACTTGAAGAAAGCTTTGAGACTTTATTGAATGCTTGGAAACTTCGATGTGTACAAATGAACCACCTTGAGGGGTATTTATACTTGTCCTCCTCCTCAATGGATGGTTGAGATCTATTTGATCTAACGGATATGGTTTAGTTCTAGAATATTCTATACAACTCTATCATATTCTAGAGTATTCTACTATACTCTATACAAGTGTACATGTATCTACACGAGTCTAGAATATTCTCTTAGCCTCCAGGATTCTGCCTCTTCCTCTTGGGATGTTCTAGACTCTTCCTTGTCACCTGGCCACGGCTATGTCGTGGCGTATGCCATGTCATGCCGCGGCGTATCAGCCTATCATGCTGCGGCATTGGGAGACTCATGACATTCTCCCCCACCTAACTTGGCGACGTCCTCGTCGCCTTGTGCGCCTCGAGCTTGTCCCGGAACTGCCACAAGTCTTCTTCAGGTTCCCACGTTGCTTCCGACTCGGGTAGTCCCTTCCACTTGATCAAGTAATGATTTTGGCGTGGAACGCCCCTCTTCCTAACCTCCTTTGTTGCGAGCATGTCTTCAATCTCTTTGTCGTAAGACCTGGTGACTACAGGCGGTGCTCGGCTTGATAACCCCCGGCTTGGGTCTTCTTCATCCCCATGATAAGGCTTCAGCATACTTACGTGGAAGACCGGATGAATCTTCAATGTGCTGGGTAGGTCGAGCTTATACGAAACTTTTCCTACCTTAGCAATAATCGGGAATGGCCCCTCATATCTACGGACTAAGCCTTTGTGTAAGGTTCTCAATACCTTGAATTGTTGTGGTAAGAGCTTCACAAAGACTAAGTCCCCCACGGTGTACTCCTTTGGCCGCCTCTTCTCGTCCGCCCACTTCTTCATCCGCTTGCGTGCTTTCTCCAAACACGAACGAGCTAGATTGGCTTGTTCCTCCCAAGACTTCGCCATCTTAAATGCTCCCGGGCACTTCCCATCGTGGAGTGGCGTGGCCAAAGTGTGAGGAGTCAGTGGTTGTTGCCCTGTGGCAAGCTCAAATGGACTCCGTCCCGTAGACTCACTCCGCTGCAAGTTATATGAGAATTGGGCTATGTCCAAGAGTCTTGCCCAATCTCGTTGGTTGGCACCTACAAAGTGCCGAAGGTAACACTCTAGCAAGGCGTTCACCCGTTCGGTTTGCCCATTGATTTGAGGGTGAAAGCTTGTAGAGAAGTTGAGTTGTGTCCCAAGCAACTTAAACAACTCAGTCCATAGTCGGCCCGTGAAGCGGGGGTCTCGGTCACTCACTATGCTCCTTGGAAGTCCCCAATACTTCACCACGTTCTGGAAGAACCCCCGTGTCGCCTCCTCCGCTGTGCAATCTTTCATGCACGGGATGAACGTCTCATACTTAGAAAATCGATCTATCACCACCATGATAGATCCAAACCCCTCGGACTTCGGTAGGGTACTAATGAAGTCCATAGAAATAGAGTCCCATGGTCGCTCGGGAATGGGCAATGGTTCCAGCAGTCCCGCGGGTTGCCGATTCTCCACCTTGTCTTGTTGACACACAAGACAGGTCTTCACATAAAGCTCCACAGTGTCCCTCATCTGTGGCCAGAAATATGCTGTCTCGAAAAGTGCTAGGGTGTGTTTTTGGCCGGGATGACCAGCCCACTTCGTGTCATGGCACTCCTTGACGAGATCTCTTCTTAAACTCTCCCATTTTGGGACATAAAGACGACGCCCCTTCGTGTATAGAAGGCCGTCCTCTTCCCAAAACCGTTGGGTTTTGCCCTCCTTGGCTAGCTTCATCAACTCCTTGGCCATGGGGTCACGTTCAAGTCCCTCCTTGATGCGCCCGATCAAGTCCCCCTCCGCTTGACTAATGGCTGCGAGCTCCGCCTTCCTACTAAGTGCGTCGGCTACAACATTGGCTTTCCCGGGCTCTAACAGCTCATCGAGTTGGCGACGTAGCTCCTCGAGCTCACTTGGGGACATGCGATAGGGTGCCATTGCGGGCGGGTTGGCACCCGGTTCCAACTCGATCTTGTGATCCACCTCCCTCCTAGGTGGTAGCTTGTCGGGTAACTTCGCCGGCATCACGTCCTTGTTTTCCTCAAGGACAACTTGAATAAGAGGTGGTATGTCCGTCGGCCCTTCCGTCTCATCATCCACCTTGAGTACGGCTAAGAATGTCGGTTCGCCCTTCTTCACCCCCTTGGCTACTTGCATAGCCGACAATGTCTTAGCCCCGCTTGGCCACTCATTGGGAGTTTCCAATGTCGGTATCATGCACGGTGAACCCTTCTCAAGAATGCAAACTGTGCTAAATGATGGCATAGGAATCGCAGTTACCTATCTTAGGAAGTCCATCCCTAGAACAACCTTGAAGTCATCCATTGGTGCCACCGAAAAATCCACTTGGCCCTTCCAAGTGCCTAGGCGTAGATCCACACCTCGTGCCACGCCGTTCAGGGGTTGAGCCTTGGCATTAACTGTTTTAAGCCACCCCTCGCCTCTGGACCATTGAATACCAACCCTCTTGGCCTCCTCCTCAGTCACAAAGTTATGCGTCGCGCCCATGTCCACCAACGCCCTTGTTGGTTTCCCATTGATGTATGCCTCAACGTACATGAGCCCCTTGCTTGTCGTCGTAGGCATCGGCTTCACCTTGAGCGCATTAAGGATTTGGAGACATCCCATCTTGCTTGTCTCCTCATCTCGGGCCTCCGCTTCTTGTTGCTCCACTATGGCAGACAACGAACCGAGCTTAGGATAGTCCTTCATGGTATGCGGTCCTTTGCATACGAAGCAACCACCCTTCGGTACAAAGGACTTCTTCTTTTCCTCGTACTCCTCACGCCCTAAACTCTTATCTCCTTTCTTGAAGAATGGTTTTCGTGGGTTCTCCTTTCCACATTGTCATGTCTCTCTCCCCCACCTTTGACGGGGTTCTTGTCTTTTCTCTTGGATGCCTCCCCATAGCTATGGTGCTGGAAGTCCATCAAGGATTCAGCAGCGGCAATGGATTCGTCCACCGTTTGAACATTCCGTCGTTGCACCTCTTGTTTAGCCCAACTTTGTAACCCATCCACGAAATAGAAAAGTAGGTCTTCTTGGGACAAGTTGGGGATTTGGAGCATAAGGGTTGTGAAGTCTTTCACATAGTCACGAATCGTACCTCTTTGCTTCAACTCCCTTAGCTTCTTGCGTGCCTCGAAGACGACGTTCTCCGGATAGAAATGCCTCTTTAACTCCTTCTTGAAGTCGTCCCAAGTGTCAATCCGTGCAACGCCCCGCTCGATGTCCGCATGCCTTCTTCGCCACCATAACATGGCCGTATCCACTAGGTAGGATGTGGCCGTCTTGATCCTCGCCGTCTCATCCTCTAGGTTGAGGTTGTCAAAGTATTGCTCCATTTGCCATAAGTAGTTCTCGACTTCCTTAGCATCTCGAACTCCATGGAACTTAGAAGGCTTCGGGTAGTCAACCTTAGGGGTATGGGCTAGGTTGATCATTGCCCCACCACTGGCAGCAACCTTTTTACACAACGCCAACTCTTCACGCATACCCTCAAGACTAACTTGCAAAGATTGGATAGCATCCATTACCTTTTCCTCCAATTGAAAAAATCGGACATCGAGGTCCCCCACATCATCCTTCACAAGGCTAAGTTGCTCAAACATATGGTTCTCCAGCAAGTTTACGCCGTTCTCGACCCTCTCGAGCTTAGCGCCCAGCCCTTCGACAGCTTCCTCCAAAGCAAGAATCTCCCCTCGAGCTTTGCTTTGATCACGCTTCTTCTTGCCATGGTTAGGATTAACATCCCTCCCACGTTCCTCGGTGAAGTTGGACATGCTAGTGTCAACGTTTCCAGCCATGCTCCCAAATGTGCACAACACGAACCCGAACCTGAACCTGTCTCTGATACCAACTGTCACGGACTTGTTCCCTCAACAAGCTCACGTGCGGCCTTAGCTCCTTTCTGCCCCTCGCAGTAGCTAAGTCAGCCTAGACAACTCCTTAGTGTTGTGTGTGCTTAAGTGCTTGGCTAGAAGGAAAGGTGGTAAAGGCAAGAACATTTGAAGAAAGCTTTGAGGCTTTATTGAATGCTTGGAAACTTCGATGTGTACAAATGAACCACCTTGAGGGGTATTTATACTTGTCCTCCTCCTCAATGGATGGTTGAGATCTATTTGATCTAACGGCTATGGTTTAATTCTAGAATATTCTATACAACTCTATCATATTCTAGAGTATTCTACTATACTCTATACAAGTGTACATGTATCCACACGAGTCTAGAATATTCTCTTAGCCTCGAGGATTCTGCCTCTTCCTCTTGGGATGTTCTAGACTCTTCCTTGTCACCTGGCCACGGCTATGCTGCGGCGTATGCCATGTCATGCCGCGGCATTGGGAGACTCGTGACACTCAGCTGTCTTCTATGGTCAAACCCCGCATTTTGGCACTTAAACCGAGCTAGTGTATACAGTATACGTATACGAGAGTATACTATGTATATGTGTAGCACGTATATACTCCGTGTGATACCTATGTAAGAGTATATATTTGGGCAGTTCACTTCTTTTTCCTCCTGTTTCTACTTCCAATCATCAAAACCCTTCACGCAGGATAACATTTCTCTGGCTGAATCTCAGGAAAATACAACACGCTGCGCAAGGCGTTCATAATCCGAAGTCCGAAGAGAAAAATTACAGAGCAACTACTCAGCTGTCGATGAAGAGTATGGAATTAATGGCAACGAGTAGCTCAACCACTTGAGAATGAGAGGGAACGGCAGGTGATGGCGAGAGTAAATGACTATTGATCGATCAAGTAAGGTATTACTCTAATGGCTGAAAAAGGTGCATTTATTGGGAAAACCATGACCTCTCCACTAACATCAACTGTACATCTTTATTTCAATTGCATTAATGGCGGCTTCCCAAGTCAAACTTGCTTATGTATTTAATTAATTACTTTTCCCTTTTTTCATTTTGACTTAAGAGTACTCCGTTTGCAGAAATCTGACGATTTATTTATTTTTCTTCCCTGATTTTGAACTCGAATCCCGCTCTGCCCGGTTTAGCATAATGGGGTTTCAAGACATAATCGCCGGACTGTTGTTCTCGAGTCTAATTTTACAATGCTTTGCCCGTAATTACGGGAAGAAATGTAATGGCTTGTGCGGGGCTGGTTCGAATTTAGAACTCCCATACCCATTTGGATTCTCTGAAGGGTGTGGAATACAGTTGAATTGTGACAACGGGGTTATCAAAATTGGAGAATTTGAGGTGAAGAATCTGACCGTTGACAGTATACTGGTAAAAGTTCCGGCAAGCTGCAGCCGTGGGATCGAAAATATTCTACTCCTTGATGGCAAGAACTTTAAAATTTCACCCCGTAACGTTCTTCTTTTAGAAAATTGTAGCCACCCATTACCGGATTGCAAGGTGTTTAAAAGCTTTATCGGATCACCGAGATGTAGATTCAGTAATGAGAGTATGAGTTGCTACTCGGAGGACAGTAAAGACATGAGCTTTTTGAACATCGATCGGTTGAAGCAGTCAAAGTGTGGCAGTGTGCATTCATCGATCACCCTGGATGACGGCGTTGATAACGGTACAATTCCGAGTTCTGCTCTCTCTCTGCACCTTCAGACAGTGGAGCTTGTGTGGTGGTTGGATGGGAACTGTAAGTGTCATCCCAACGGGAAATGTTTGCCTGTTAAACTTCCAAAGGGAGGAAGCGGTTTCCGGTGCTCGTGTAAGGATGGATTCGTTGGAGATGGCTTCGCGGATGGTGATGGTTGCCGGAAAGGTGAGATCTTTTTTTCACATTTTAAAAATGAATCATTTCAATACTCTTTAACTATTATTAGTCCATCCATCCTCTTTTGTTTGTTCAACGTTTTCTTTAGGCTTTCTTAAAATGTTTGTCACCCATTATGGTAATCTTTTAGGCCTAATAGTGTTTTTTACTTAAGTTTGATTGTAATCAACTAATCACACAATCTAATGTTAATCAAACTTAGTAAGCAGTTAGTGGGACGAGGCAATGTAATATGCTCACTTTTGTAATTTAATATTAACATTAACAATTATAGTAGATCTTCTATGCTTGTATATGAATAGTTGAATTTGACTTCAAAATATTCATGTGATCCCTATGAATTAGGTGGCTTAATTATCTCATGGGAAACATAGGATCACCATTTATTAGCTGGACATCTATGTGAAACCTACGACTGCAAGTTTGCTACAAATCTACAATATACTATCTCCGTTCCCATTATAACTTCCAAATAGGTTTGACACACACTTTAAGATAGTGGGTATGGTGTGGTGGAGAGTTGTGTAGAGGAGAGAGAAATGTGTAAGAAATGTTGTGAACCACAAATTCTTTACCAAAAAGGGAAAGTGGAAGTTTTAATTGGAACAGACGAAATAAGAAAGTTGGAAGTTATAATAGGAACGGTGGGAGTAATAAATACTTCTACTACTACTACCAATAATAATAATAATAACAGCAGCAACAGCAATAATATTTAGTAACAATATGAAAAGTGAAAACTAAACAGTGCAGAAACTAGAATGGTCAATTAAGTCTTCTGGATTTGATTCCGTGAAAGTTGCTTTCATATTCAGAGCTGTTCAGTGTTGAATGATTCCTAGTCGTAACCTTGTGTCTTAGGGAGTCCAACTTTTTTGTTTTTGTTTATTTGAATTGGTCAAAGTTGGACAATAGTTTGGTTGATTGATAACTGTGGCCAAACATTGCAGCATGCTGAGGAAATTTCTGCATTAGATTTAAGATTTGGAATCTGCGGTGGGATTTTAATATGACTAAGCAGAATATACTGAAATGTCTAAACTTGCATTGAAATTATTGAGTTGACTAATATAAGTTGTGAGTAAAATATGAGTAAGATAAAAATGATGCGTAGTAGAAATCATTGTAATTTACTACACAGTCAATGTATTTATTGATCAAATCAGCAGGAAGTATTTGAAAAGGGCCTAGTGCTCATTCCATCAACTTCAACCCAAAAATATATTCAGACTTTCTTTTTTCTCATTAGTAACTAATGAAGTGTGCACAATAAAAAAACATAAGCAGTCATGTTTGGTCACAAATCTATACGATAAAACTGATAAGCCAAAAATATGGGCTACCAAACGGCCATTTAAATTTAAATTAAACTAAGATGAGACATGTGGAGGATTTGGAGTGGGCTAAGTTTGTTTTTACCTTATTAAGGATGCATCTCCTGAATGATTGATTGATGGGAAGGGTGAGCCACACTTCATCTTTCCCTGTAACTCCTGAAAGAAACCTTACATAATTTGGTATTTTTTATCCTAGACTATAAGTTAAAACCTCCTAAACCTGGTTGCATATTGATCCTCATAAGATCAAATGCGTGAAACGTAAGGTGATTCTTTTATCTTTTTAATTTTGTTTTCTTGGCTAATTAACTCTTTCCGCTTTTCCTCTCCATACGTTGCCATTTTCCATACAGCTTCTAGTTGCAATGCCTCCAAGTACATGTCTGGTAAATGTGGTGGAACAAGAGTTGGCATTCTCATCGTAGGTAATAACCATTTCTATAACATTTGCTTCAATTATTGCTGCTAAACACTCGAGACTCAAAAGTTTGAATCCCACCGGATACTTTACCTGAAAACCCGTATGGTGCAGGAGTGGTTCTAGGAGTATTTTTGACGTCTCTGCTGCTACTCGCCTGCAATTGCACCCGAAAACGATCCGCATCACTGAAGAAACGAGTCAGTGCAAAGCGGCTATCAGAAGCCGCGGGCTGCTCCAGCGTCCGTTTATACCCCTACAAAGAGCTTGAACGGGCAACGAATGGTTTCTCGGATGAGATGCGTCTAGGAACAGGTGCTTATGGCACGGTTTATGCAGGAAAGCTCTACAATCACGAACTGGTTGCGATTAAGCGTTTAAGGCCTCAAGATGCGGATGGAGTGGAGAACGTTATGAACGAGATCAAACTTCTATCCTCAGTGAGCCACCCCAACCTCGTCCGCCTCCTAGGTTGTTGCCTCGAGAATGATGAACAAATCCTCGTGTATGAGTATATGCCAAATGGAACTCTATCTCACCACCTCCATGGAAAACAACGTTCGGGACTTCCGTGGCTGATCCGGCTGAACATTGCGACCGAAACTGCTCACGCAATTGCTCACCTCCACTCATCCATGAATCCGCCGATATACCACAGGGACATCAAGTCCACTAACATTCTGTTGGATTTCAGCTACAAATGCAAGATAGCTGACTTTGGGCTCTCGAGATTTGCTATGACAGACGATTCCCACATCTCCACGGCCCCACAAGGGACCCCGGGATACTTGGACCCGCAGTACCATCAGAATTACCATCTTTCTGACAAGAGCGATGTCTACAGTTTTGGGGTAGTTCTGTTGGAGATTATAACAGCTAAAAAGGTGGTAGACTTCGCTCGGCCCAATAGTGAGATCAACCTGGCTGCACTGGCGATAGATCGGATAGGAAAAGGGCGAGTGGACGAGATAATAGACCCATGTCTGGAGCCAAACAGGGATGCATGGACACTTTCCTCCATTCACAGGGTTGCTGAGCTGGCATTTCGGTGCCTGGCTTTCCACAAGGACATGAGGCCGTCGATGACAGAAGTGGCAGATGAGTTGGATCAAATGCGGGTCGGTAGTTGGGAACCGGTGGAGGGTAACATATGCATGACAACGTCGTCATCTTGCACCTCCCGTCATAACTGGAGCGAGATATCATTCTGCAGTTCTTTGAATAATAAGAAAGTAATAAAGGAGTGCTCTCCGGTGTCGGTCCGGGACCCATGGGCAAGCGATGAGAGCTCGCCATCAGCAGATAAGTTGTTGGGTAGTGCAGCTGGACAGGCATGAATGATGAATCCAAGTGCTAGTTTAGACAGACTGAATCCTTCTTTATTTATTCATTATTATAGCTTGGCTTGTATCTACGACCAAAACTAGTGATGGCTAGTATTGATCATTAAAAACTTGAACGCCAAACAAGTGTAATTAACTTGTGTAGTTCTGCTTAGTTTGGGTGTGTGTATATGCGAGTACAGTTTTGTTATGATGATGGTGTCCTTTAGGTCTTGATCAACTATAAGTGTACAAATTCACCTAACAAAGTGCATCAGGAACTTACACATTGAGTTGACCAGTGATGGTTTTTGGTAAATGAGGTGGATATATTGTACTCGTACAAAATGAATACAATCTTTGTACAAAAATTCTTTAGTGTCTTTTTTATACATACCATCTTACACATCACACATGTCTGTGAACATATATTTTTTGTTCACAGACATGTGAGTAGGCTATATTTGCAGACAAAAAAATATTCCGTAGGTTTTTTCGAAGAGAGACCGTTTTCGATGACTCGTAGTGAAAATCACGATGAAAATTGCATTGATCGCTTGTTACTTTATAACAAAGAAACACATACACTTTTTTTTTACTCCAGAGGGTCTGGGGGAGGGGGGTTGGGTGGCCTGGAGTACTAAGGGCTGAAACTCACTCCATTGAGTTTCAAACCCTTATGTGCCTAGCGTGTTTCGAGTTACGGGTTTCGAACTCGAAACCTCTCACTAGGCACGATAACCTCACAACCAACTGAGCTGGAATGTTTGGTTAGAAACACATACACTTTAGTAGTTTAGTGTGTCTACTTTTTTATTTGTTTAATCCCTCTATCTCCTTCCCCATTCCTCTCCACCCATTTCAGACTTTTAATTAAATAGACCCTGCTCATTTTAAACAGCTTTTCGATGACCATAATAATACAAAAAAGTGACAATTGGATCCGACTGATCGGTCTAGTCATATCGCAGGATCAAGACTTTGTTCACCCTAACATGTTATGGTGTACTACATCTGTCTCATAAAATTTGACCAACTTTTCTTTTTTGCCCGTCCCAAAAAACTTTCTCATTTCCATTTACGGTAACAAATATGTGGTTAAAGTTGTTTCTCTCTCCTCTGCACAAATATCAACCAAATCGTTTTTACTTTATTAATCTACGTGCAAGTCAACGTTGGCCAAGTTTTGCGGGACGGAGGGAGTATTATACAAACTAGTGTTCCACGGGCAAGTTAACTACAAACGTATTTGAGTTAACTACAGATAAGTCAGAAAACATTGAAAAAATCCTAATATATACTCCCTCCGTCCCCTTTTAAATGTCCCGGAAGAGGGTGACACGAGTTTTAAGAAAAGTAGGTTTGTGTGGTTGATATTAATAGATAAAGTAAGAATAAAGTAAGAATAAAGTAAGAATGATTTTGAGCCACACAAACTTTACCAAATAAGGTATGGGACAATTAAATAGGGACATCCCAATATGGTAAAATGGGACATTTAAAAGAGGACGGAGGGAGTATAGTGGTGGATTTGACACAAAAGTTTTGAATAATCAATATAATTTTAACATCATTTTTAAACAATATTTTGAGCCTGTTTGGTGACTCTGTTTTTCAGCATATCAGGTTTATCAACCAACTTTTTAATCAAACACGTAACTTTTGATTCTGCGCGCTGAATTGTGTAATAATAAGAAAAAGTAAGGTTGAAGTTACTTTTTTTCCCGTATTGGCTGAAGTTACTTTATATGACTATTTTAGTTATTTTCATATAATTTGTTCTTTATTTTATTAATAAAATATATTTTAATTTTTTTTCATAAATCAACAAAATCAGGCAATACAATCACTTTAGCCAAAACTTTATAAATTTCAGCAGAATCAGCCAATTCAACCGATTTCAATGTTACCAAATAGGCTCTTTATCATCAATATCATACGTAGTACTACGGTCTTACGTAGTATTTAGGTGGACTCATGTGGTACTCACTAGAGTGTGACGATGATCGATTTTGATACACTCCTTCCGTTCCATAACATTTGGTCATATGAACACTTTTTGGTCAATGATTATCAAATTTGATTAATGATATTTCTTCCTACAAAATTATTTTAAATATGTAAATTATATAAAATTTATTTTATTAAAAATATTTTTGTTAAATGTTATACATTTAAAGTGAATATAATAATTAAAACATAATTATTGATTAAAGTTTATTATCATTATTTTAAAAAATCAATTTGCACAAATTTAGTGAGACGAGTTAGGGAGTAATATTTAGTCCACTTCTCGGAATCATATGTAGGAACAAATATATTTTCTCTCATTTATGAAATATTCCTAAAGTTTACGTGTATGAATTTTCTAATATACAATTGATGATTCGAATTTCGAACAAGTTTTCAAACCACTGGAAGTGGGTGTGGAGGCCATCATCTCTTGTCATGCCATTAGAGGGACGTGACCGTGCTAATATGTATTTTTTCTAGTATCGACCGACATGTGAGATGTTCATATTTCCTTTGATTAAAGGTTACGGCACACATGCGTATGATTGTCTACAAATTAAATAATTTATACAAATTAAATAATTTATACTAGATTCGAGATTCAAATTCATAGTAAACTATTCGAATTCAAAAAATTGAAATACAAAAAGAATACTAAATTTCATTCAAATTGTTATCAAATATAAATAAGAATACCAGTATATACAATTCTAATGTTAATCAAATAAATTCGATTAGTAATATTTATAATAGTAGAATAATAATAGTAATAATAATAACAATATCACTATAATAACTTTTAAAAATTGGTTATACAATCAAAGAGTAGCCCATATGTACATTTACTTATACACATTTCAAGCCCATTTATAATAACATAGAAGTATCATATGAAGTAAGAGCTATAAATGTAGCAAAAATTTTGATTTAATTTGTGATTTGGATTCAAACCTATGATTTAAATTTGAAAATATAGAATATTAAAATGGCGACAACCGGACACAGTCTCCTATAAAAGAGCTTATTTGACCTTTTTATATAAGTTCGAGGGCCTATTTGACCCTTTTTCCTAATAAAATTGATTAATTTTAGTATATTGTGCACAACCAAAAAATGCACTGAATGATTACATTTTAAAGAGAAATGGAATGTTATAAATTAAATTTTAGAAACACATACTAAGTCATAGGAAACACTTGTACCATAAAAAAATATAAGAAAAACTGTTTTAAGTGATATTTGGCTAATACGGAGTATTTAGTTTATGATCAAATAGATTCGATATTCGTAGCTGCTTCATCAACTATTCGTATTGTACGAATACAAATTGAAATTAATATTTGTTTCTTATTGGAATTCAGATTCGTATTCGAAAAAATTAAACAAATACGAATATAAACATCACGCTATTCGATTCTTTCAGGTATGTTTACACCCCAATTCACTTCTTCCTACCCATGTAGTAGTAAAAAACTACCCCAACAAGTGATAAAGAATTGAAGCCTCACCTTCATATTTTTACTAGAGAAGATTGCATTCCAAAGTGCTCTTCTCACATTTAGTTTTCCTTTGATTTTTCCCTAAATCCATGAAGGATTTTAGAAACTGCCAAAAAGCAATCGTGTTCTAATTTAAATACTATATTGTTCATTCTTATTATCTTTATCAATAATAATTAAGTTAGTTCTTTACATAATCACCCTCAAAGGTCGATCCAGTTGAATAGCAACGGGTGGTCAATCCGATAGTGTAACTATTATAATTTCACTGGATTCACAAGATACCGACAGTAATTTCCAATTAGCGCCCAAACTGAACGATGGAAGGAAAATAGATACTATGGAACTTTAAGGACGATAGATTTTAGAGATGTTGCAATATTCGCCGTTGACAATGGAAATCTGATTGGGTGAATGAACATCCGGTGCTTCAGAAAGAAAAGGCTTTGTTTTTGTGGAGTCATCAAGTGTAGGGGACTTTCTAAATTTTTTATTGCCATAAGCAAGTTTTAATTAGAGACTACAACTATTGGAGGAGAAAATAGTTAGTGAATGTTTAAGTTCATTATATGTGACAACCTACCTAGACTAGACATCTATCCATTGAGGATGTGTTCTAATACTACATTCCTACTTCACAATTCTTTTATATAATGATATAAATACTATTGTCCTCGTCCCGTTATGATTGTCCCATTTTACCTTATCGGTCTGTCCCACTAAGATTGTCTCATACCAAATTTGGTAAAGTTTGTGTGGCTCTAAATCATTCTTACTTTAATCTTACTTTATTCTTACTTTATCAATTTAATATCAACCACATAAACCACTTTTTATTAATTTGTGTGACACTCCCTCTTGTCTCATTGTTAACGGGACGGAGGGAGTATAAATATTATAGTGGAGTCTGATCAGGCTGGAATGGTAGATGGCCGTCGGGGGTGACGACGGCCCCAGAGTGAAATATTAATTTTTGTCTGGAAAATTAGACTGGAAATTTTTAAAATGAATCATTTCTTTCTTTTAAATTTAATTTAGCAATATTTAATGGAAATTTATCATAATAGAATCAAAAGTATGGGTAAAAAAGTTATAAAAAGCTGTAAATCCACATTATAAATATGAGTAGAATCAGAAGTGGATGAGTAAAGATAGGTAAACATAGGTAGGTAATAAGTTTTGAAATTTTCTGATGCCAAATCAACATTTGAACGAGCTTTGCGTGGCAAGGGCACAACCATTACCGCGAAACTTTAGGCTAGTCAACGTCTTCCACGTGGCATGGTCTCAAGCTGACCACATAATTGGCAATTGCCAGCTCCTTCGTCTTCATTACAACAGCAATCCATTTGCTACCTCAGAGTGATACTTTCTGTTCTCTGAGCTTCGGGTGCGGATCGGATAATCAGATCTGAGAAAGAGGGAGGAGAAGAAATGGGGAGAATCGATTACCTGTCTATGAAGACAGACGGTGTCGCCGCCGAGGAACTGATCAATGCGGACCTCAAAGACCTCAAGCTCGCCGCTAGGAACCTCTTCAACCATGCCACCAAGCTCGGGGGTATTGGCTTCGGCACCTCTTTTCTCAAATGGGTCGCCTCCTTTGCTGCCATGTATGTAACTTACTGTTTTATTTTATGATTTCAATTCGTCCAAATTCCGAACTCGTAATGGCTTCTGAGTTCTGACCCTCGAATCTCTAAAATTCTCCTGCACCTGTTTTGTTGATGTGGATCGGCTTTTACTTATTTATAAAAGTGCTGTCCAGTTATTCCTTTCGTGTGAGATTGTCGATGAAATATGTACGGTGTATATTATATTGAATTTCCAGTGGGTTTGGTAGGCAATTAGGTCGTTGTTAA